ATCGTAATACGTTTTTTGTAAGCATCGGTATATAATTTGTGTTCATTCATTCACCGTTTTCAATTGACTTCAAAAAACAAGGTGATTTTATATTTTTGTTCTTTTTTAAGTTTGTTATTTGTTATTACAGAACTCTGCCATTTATACGTCTTTTTGGTGTTTTTGTATCTAGAAAGATTGTAGATTGGCTCCAAATAGATTTCATCAAAATCGGTTCAGTAATTTAGTTTTTAAATTAAAATAAGTGATTTTGCTAGAATTGAAATCTATTTAAAAAAAAAAAACACGATCTTAATTTATTTATACTACAAAAGTGGCATCCAAGCATATAGCCCATCTGATGGTAAATGGTCACTGTAGTCTAAGAATTTCTGCAACACCAGAGTTGTCAAGTTCACGTTGTCTATCTTGAAGAAATCTTAATACAAACTTTTTGACATTAAAAAACCCCATACAGTAAGTCTCTATGAAAAATTTCGGCAGGGAGCTCATTGCATAGTATTCATTAATGTCATTATGATGTTATGTTCTGCCTCATTTAAATCCAGATAAAGCATTGACAAAACAATATGAATGCTTATGAATGTAAATAGAGAGGAAGACCCAGAGACTACAGTATGGGGCTCTTCAAAAATAGCATATTAAAATTTCTTCAGAGACAGCAACGTGCACGTGATTCATGCGTGCAGGCGTCCATAGGCTACAGTGCTCGTTTACCATCAGACGGACTGTATGCTTGTTTGCCACTTTTGTGGTATAAAAAAACCTAAACTAACCTATTATGATTAGATAGGTCATGCCTATTTAAAGGAGGAATCAATAATCTCCAAAACAGGCGTGCTTGTATAAGAGCAAATAAGAATGCAAAAATCAAGAGCTATAAATAAAGATACCAGTAGAGGTCTTTGGCACTGTCTGTTCGGTTCTCTCTACCTACTTCACAAGGAATTTGGCGTGACGATAGATAAATATATGTTCTGCATCGTTACTACAAAATAACCCATTACTCAATAGATGAAAGGTCAATTCATTCTATCCATGAAAATGGCCAGTACCATCGATATGTCAAAATCAATCATTACTTTGATAAATGACTCCCTTAACGTTGCTATCAGATTTCTATAAGGCTTATTAACAAGCGCTCTGTGAAGGATCTGATATCTACGTTAAACGATTAAGGCGTTTTGTGGCGAATGTATGACAATAAATGGTGATTATTATTATTCGTTTATAATTTCTTCTTACGACACTTAGAATGGAAAACAAGCATTTTCCATTAGGTGGACTGTAGATCCATCTGATGGAAAATGATATCTGTCTATTTAAACATGAATAGTACATATATTTAGATAGATAGATAGCTAATCTTTATTACCAGTAATTAAAATAAAAAAAAATCAACAATGAAAAGAAGAAAAAAAACAATTTTGCTGGTATAGGAGCCACTTCAGCTGTTGCTATATATGTACAGCTCCAGCGAGAAATACCTATATAGCGCTGATTTTCAGGCGGCCCCTTAACTCTTTTTACCTTTAGCATGCGTGCGGGTTGCCAATTTTGCGTCGCCATCTCTAAGGACTATGGTATTATACTTCCATACCGTATATTGATTTATAATTTTACACACATTAAAATATATGTACAGGGCGGACTGATGATATTTTTTACTTATCAACCGTAACTGCAGTGTAGTAGTCTAACAAAATAAATTTGTATATGAAATAAATATTATAGAAAACAACAGGAATGCATTTTAAAATTAATGTATATACATATATAGAATAATATACTTACAAAACACATACATACATAAATCACATACAAAACAATGCATATAATAAATAATATATATTAATATAATAAATATATAAGTCATAGCTAATCAGCAGTGAATTTACAAGGTACAGAGTAATAACACCTGAGAGCTCAGGAATGGCAACGCATGGGGGGTATCATGGGCGAAACAGTATACTCTGCTGTGTCCATAGTACTGCTCATGTCTATAGGCGACGGTTACCATTTTCCATCAGGTGGACCGTCTGCATGTTTGCCATTCTAAGTTGCATAAAAAGAAACACTGTGATTCATTGATTAATAGATAAATGTAACTGTCCAGTATAATTCTGTACTTACTATCTATATTCATTATATTACTACGCAATAGTTATAGAGGTCAAGTGAAGCTAGGTCGGGACATGTTAACGACTCAATTAGTTAGCACGGGTTTAACAATACAAGTTCATCCAAACGAAGAGATATCTACATTGTCTGCGAGTAACAAACATAACTACAGCATGAAAAATGATCCTAGTGTTAATTATGTAATTATATATATATAAAAAAATATATATGCGTGTAATGTAAAGCCCTTTGTGACATAATAGTAAAGGTTGTTTTGTGAAAACGTTAGCTTGTTTGCCATTCTAAGTTGCATAAAAAAAATCATACGATAGTACAAATTGAAGCTGTTCATTAGTGTAATAATTTGAAATAATGTTCACGAAGAGATTTTTTTAAAGGACTTTTTGAATTGCCTTTTTTGTATTGATAGGTAGTGCATTAGAAAAGATGGCTGAGATGGTAAAAGATTGAGAGGAGAAGTTTGATCGGTGGGTGGAGTGTACTATAATAAATTAGAAATGGAGCGAAGATCTCGAATCTTTCGAAAACCTTTTTTTTTTTTATTTGGAATCTTTCTTTAATACAATCTACAGATTACACCTAGACAAGTTTAGGGTGACTTGTTCTTTTCGGTTTAAATCAATTTTACGGTGTCATGAAAATGTAATAGAAATATAAATTGAAAGTTTTCGAGTCAAAAATTATAAGAAGACTTCTTAAGCTACAGCCGGGTCAGTGAGAAGGCTTTAAACTTGAGATTACACAGGTTAAGATATAAATGGTTCTTACACGGCGTGTCCCTCGGAGCGTTTATCCCAGAAACGTTATTAAATAAAAATCTCGCCAACACGTGGAAAATTTCTTGACAATACTTGGGGAAAATGTATCTTATTTGCCTCGAATTTAATTCGTGACTCGATAGCTTTGAATGTTGTTGAAAAATTATCCTGATTTATTATATGTATTATATATATGTATATCTATGTATATTGTGAATTATATCGTATGTTGTATACAATATGTATATCGCGGATTTGCCTACATGATTCAGTATACGAAGTATCATTATGTAATGTTATATTTTTTGTCTATGTCATACATGTCACAAAAGCTGTTATTTGTCCATTGCTAAATATAAACTTTCATAAGAGGGGTTTTGCCAGTAGTTGCCAAACTTGGCAAGCTGCTTGGCAACTGCATTAGGCTTTTATGGTGTACCTATCTGTGTACTAAATTTTATTCAATTCGATTCGATAATGTTTCCGTGAAAGAAAGCATATCAAATTAAGAATAAATAAATTAAAGAATATTTAATTCATTTAATTAATTGTCAATTAAGAATAAGTAATCTAAATATTTTTCAATTTAATTAAATTAATAAATAAAAATAATTTTAATACTAAAAACAATAATATCATATTAGCTGATCCGGCAAAGGTTGTTTTGCCATATCAATTATTTTAGTAGAAAAAATAACTATAAATTATTGTAAGTGCTTACTTAAAATTTTGGGGTAAGGTGGTTATATAATAGGGGTATGAAAATAGATAAGAGCCTATTCCCCGAGTCCGACTCCGAGAAATAAAAGGTCAAAATATAAAATTTCATCAAAGTCGGTTAAACCGTTTCGGAGAAGTATGGCAACTAACATGAGAATTTTATATATTAGGAGATATAATATTTTTAAAGTAGATTTTCGCTGGATTCTGCAGTGAAGAATACGAGGCTGAATAATTCAAGATGTTGGGTAAATATTACTTTAACTAATTCTATGAATTACCTAATACATCTGTACAAAAAATATTTACTGAATACAGAATTATATACATTTAATATAAAGTAGAAATATCCATTCACGTTATTGAGTATATTTCATCTCTATATGTATTTAAAATAACAAAATTTTCATCGTGCCTCCGATAAAACTGTTTATAACTACTCCTCGCCATCCAAAGGTTGCCTGGAAGACATCGCTTTTAGCGATAAGGTCGCCCATTGTTTTCTCATTGTGATTGTTTCTTGTAATTGTTTATATTTATAATAAGTTTACTATTGTATTCTTTTGGAAGGAACAATAAAGAAGAAATAAATAAAAAATCTATCTATCTATCTATATAAAGTAATTAAATCACACCATATAATTAGATATATAATAATAACAGTACTATAATTTACATACGATATTTTATAATACACGTAATTAGTCCGAAATGACACCTCAGCATTCAGATTGTGTAATTACAAGTAATAATTAGGTATATATGAAAATTCCTGACATCGCTAGTGATGAGAGAAACTTTATCGATAAATAAAATGAATTTACTGTAATTTTTTTATCATTCATAATTTTATGCTATTTAAATAACTAAAAGGAAACTACGTCTACTGCTAGTTTTATGGTTTTTTTTTCATACAACTTAGAACGGTTGAAACGTGAAGCAGTTGTGTTTGCATGGCTGTGTTTCGGTTTGAAGGGTGGGATATAGCGTGAATTTACAAGGTACAGAGGAATAACACCTGAATCCTCAGGAATGGCAACGCATGGGGGGTATCATGGGCAAAACAGTATACTCTGTTATGTCCACGGTACTGTTCATGTCTATAGGCGACGGTTACCACTTTCTATCAGGTGGATTGTCAGCTTCTTTGCCATTTTAAGTTGTATAAAAAAAAGGTGGCCAAGCAAACGACTTTTGTACAAAGTCTCCCTCTGTTAGTCTTATGGAGTAGGTAGAGATAAATATAAATTTTTACATGCTATAAAATACTTGTACTATTTCTACAGATGTAATTACAGGGTATAGAGGCATAATAACATAGTCCTTAGAATTAGCAACACTTGATGTGTACCATAGATATCATGGTGCATTCTGTGGTATTCGTGGTCTTGTTCAAGTCTATAGATGACAACCATACTTTCTGATATTTGAGCCTTCAATTTGTTTGCCATTCTGATTAGGGAACAAGCATACAGCCCGTCTGATGGTAAACAGTCTCTGTAGCCTATAGATGCCTGCAAATCTAAGGGTGTTACGTTGGCAACTTTGTATAACATTAATACAAATTTTTTGGAGAACTCTATTCTATAGTCTCTAAGGAAAAACTTGGCAAGGAACTCATTCCACAGTTTGCGCGTTAGTGAGAAGAACTTCTTCTGAAGCCGCACTGTACTCAATAATTTGGGTATTATCGTATAAGGATGAATTGCCTGTAAATTGTGTCAAAAGTCAAAAGACTTCTGGAAATTATGTTTTGTTGCTCGTAAAGACAGAATTTGGATTTCCTAAAATCTTTATCATCAACAAAGCTGCTATTAATATCTGAAGACAATTTATCGAGTGATAACCAACACTACTGATAAAAAAAAACGAATTCGACAGAAGGTACTTTAAATCTTGCACGATTTTTTTGTGATTACAATTCAGTTGCAAGCCACAGGTGAAACTTGACTTTGAAAATGTTGAAGTCTATTCTAATGAAGTTAGAAAATCCAAAACGTCCGCTCTTAGGTCCAAATATATACTCATTACAATTCTGGGGTGTGTTGCTTCCAAAGACTAATATTTGTATGAAATATTTTTACATGACCATCCATACTATAGTTACATTATTTGTTGTCACCGAAATTATGGACGTTTGGTATATAAAGTCTGATTTAAATAATTTGTTGAACAACTTAAAAACCACAATATTAGCAACAATGAGTACAATCAAAGTACTTAGTTTCTTGTATTGGCAAAAACGTTGGTGGAACGTCATTGATTATGTCACTGAATCTGATATCAACAGGAGAAAAACTGAGGATGTGAATAAGAAAAGAATAATAGAAAATTATACAAAATACTGTCGCATTTTCACATACTCCTACTGGACGTTAATGTACTTCACAATTCTTGTGTTGATCGTAACACCAGTTTTTAAGTACATTTTCTCTTCAACCTATAGATATAATGTCAAAAATGGTAATGAAGAATATTTGCAAGTTGTAAGCTCTTGGATGCCGTTTGATAAAAATGCTCCCGTTGCTGTTATACCAGTGGGTATTGTTCAGGGATTTATGGCGACATATGGCGGCGGATGGATTTCTTCTTATGATACTAATGCATTGGTCATTATGGTGTATTTTCGAGCAGAACTTGAATTGTTGAGAATTGATTCTGCTAATATATTTGGCGAAGAGGACAATCCTGTTTCAATTGAAGTTGCTAGAGAAAGATTGAGGGAATGTCATAAGAAACACGTAGAATTGATGAAGTAAGTATATTTCTATCATTTAGAGAAGTATGTTGAGAGTTTCTCTTTTCGATTGATCTCATTCAGTGACAATGTTTTCTCTGTGTTCGCTCAGGATAGTATAGTTACTGTCCTGTTAGTACTACCTTTAGTTCTTGTATGATAGATATAACGAACAGGCCATGAACAAAAATGCAAAAGTTTGTTTCATTATTACTATTTTTTCGAAGAATGCAAGAAGTATTAGCTAGTATTATGTTTTTTCATTACATTAAAAAAATAGCAAACATCAAGATTTACACTATGATTACAGTTTTTATCTCAAGCAAATAGTTCAGATGTTAGCTTAATTACTGGTTACTACGGCATTCAATTTTATCATTTTATTCGAATTAACATTTTAAGTATTTACTAAAAAATCAACAGTTTTCAAGAATTTAACTCTCTTTTTTTATACTTTCAGATATATTCAATTATTAAATTCTTGTCTTTCGCCAATAATGCTTCTGTATCTGTTGGTGTGTGCTATAATGCTTTGTGTAACAGCATATCAAATTACTGTAAGTATATAATATACAAAGGTGGCTTATTTTATACCGGCTTATAATATAAATAAAATATAATAATAAAAATTTGATGACTCACTTAAGGCATCATATTTTTTATCATATTAACTTTAAACATATGTTTGCAGAAATGTAATTCTATCTTTTACTTTCAGGTGCAAACGAGCGCAATGGAAAGATTTTTCTCGATAGAATATTTAGTGTTTGGCGTGGCACAACTGTTCTTTTATTGTTGGCACAGTAACAATGTCTTATATGCGGTTTGTTTATGTCATATTTTTATGTAAAATAAATAGATTTTTAGAGAATAAATTGAGCGTGTGGTCTCGGCATAGAATAGGCTACTTCTTCTTTATCCATGGGTGTCGTAAGAGCCGATTAGGGGAAAGCAAGGGATGTACAGCAGCGTCCCTCTTAAAACATCTCTAAAGTCTGATTGCGGTTACCAATCCGCCTATCAAACGCGACAACTACTGTTAATACCCCCCCAATATATACACACATGAGTAAAATTACGCTTTAAAAAAACCGCTCCATTTTCATTGTTGTCAATTGTTTCGTTCTTAGCACATAAATAACTTTTTTAAATGGGCAGTACTGAAATGATATCCTCGTCAGTTTTCTTAACATACTCTGGCAAAGTACCAGTGGGTGATAATAGGTATAAGCGACAAGAGATCAATGGGCTCATCGTATTGAGACTAATTCAACAAGAATTAGCTATGATTATTTCCAGGGGGAACCGCGTAGAGGTAAGTCTAACAGGGTATATTGCTAGCAACGGGACCTTTAGACTTCATAATAATCCCTTTAGTAAATTTTGTCTGATCTATGCAGAATGAAGAGGGTCTTAGAGATTTACTAGCAAAGGCATCATCCTTATTAGTACCATCACCACGATTACTAGTAGTAATAACTGTATCATTCTCTTCTTTCAGAGTTATGATCTAACGAGAGGTCCATATGAGAGTTTTTGGTGGAAAAAGCATGTGTCTCGTTCATTTCGCAAAGACCTGTTCATATTGACAGCCCAATTTAACAAAATAGTCGTCTTCACTGCGGGACCGTTCACGGATCTTAATATGGCTACTTTTATTAATGTAAGACGTTTTTAAATTATAATTATTTTTGAAAAATTTATATCACTTTTCTTAAGGAGAGTAGATGACAATCTAATCCACGTTAGAAGCATAGTCGGTAGAAGTCCAAAGCTCAGAATGAGAAACGAATGTACTATGCGAGCAATATCCAAGAGCACCGCCTTCTGCATCTTTCCCAAAAGTGAGTTGCTTCAGAATTTCAATCGTCTGAGGTCTCGTTCCAGACTAGTTGGGATAAGACCGTTCGCCGAAAGGACGATTGGAATGATTTCAGTGGATGTCACTTCTGACAATGCAGCCATTGCGCAGAAGGCGAAAATGAATGTAACTAAACCTTTAAAAATACCTTAAAAAACAAAACTTAGACAAAACACTAAAAGTATTTTTTTATGGAACAACAACAACAACAACAACTAACAATGGCAAAATAGTTGACTGTGCACTGTTAAGGTGGCAACCATATCGCCTATAAACATGGACAGCACAATGGATAAAAAAGCGTAAGCTGGCATGTTCAAGGTCTCAAATATTGCTGTTTTTTTTTTTTATACATCTTAGAATGGCAAACTAGCTGACGGCCCACTTGATGGAAAGTGGTAACCGTCGCCTATAGACATGAACAGTACCATGGACATAACAGAGTTATGTCCATGTTACGCCCATGATACCCCCCATGCGTTGCCATTCCTGAGAACTAAGATGTTATTCCTCTGTACCCTGTAAATTCACGCCATATCCCACCCTTCAAACCGAAACACAGCTATGCAAACACGACTGCTTCACAGTAGAAACGCGAATGGGACAGAGGTACCCAAGCAGTCGACTTTTGTACAAAGTCTCCCTCTGGTAGGCTGTACTTAATGATCAAAGTTATAACCAATTGTAGATGAGATCGACACTGTACTTTGTGAGAAATTATTAAGAAAGTATAATTATTAATGAATTATTAATGAATTATTAATGAATTATTAATGAATTATTAATGAATTATTAATGAATTATTAATGAATTAAATATAAAATGATAATGATGATAAGTTTTCAATATGCAGATTTCTATTAAATACAAGTTTGACTATACTAGTATTATTTCTTTTCAGATCTTGAAAGGAGCCTACAGTTATTATGCGTTACTTACGAATTCGCAGAAATAAAAAATCTGAAATTTCAATATAAATTTAATTTGTATCATTAAAATAAATCTAGTGACATTATTGTATAAGATATAAACAATCGGTTTGGTTTAAATATTAACAATCTTGTAATGATTATTACTTTTTAACATCAAACTTTTTAAATTAGATTCACGTTAAGCATTAAGTGTAGTATAATTAATGCATTTTTTTTTCCACACTCTTTCCACTTTCCACTCTCATTTTCAATAACATTTAATATAATTTTGAGTTTATTATAACAGGAGTAACGAATCAAATCTCAGTTACAAAGTTTGTTACGTATCAAGATCAAACGTCAAAGCGTCACACGATGTCTGAAGGACAGACGGACAGAAGAACCAAATTCCAATTTCAATAAAAACATTCATCATTATAATTATAATGAATTTGAAAAATTTTATTCATTTAATAAAAATTGTATTCACTTTATTGAAGCGTCTTTAAAAATAAATGTATCAATATAGCACTGCATGAGTACAAATCTAGTTTTATTCTTGACTTCGTTAGCCGACAATAAACATTGATGCTAAATAAAAATCTAACAATATTTTTTATATATCCGATAACTAGTACTCAACTATTTCATTTTTAAATGTTTTCCATAAAGAAATAATCGTAATCTGGTAATATTTTTTTGTATTTTACGCAATATTTGTATCAATATTATAAAGAGTATCCTGAACATGTTTGTTAATAAATTGGATAGTCCTCTCGTGAGAATGCTCGCCAAGAGGACTAGATCATTATTAGTGATTAAGTATTAACATAGTTTTTAAGTACACTTACTAACATAAAAGGATCCAAGATATCTAAACATAAATAAATAAATAAATAAATAAAAGAGCTAACATTTGTGAGTTTGGATGTTTGGATAATCTCCGGTACTACTGATCTAATTTTGAAAAATATTTCATTATTGCAAAAGTATATTATTTGAAAAATATTTCATTATTGCAAAAGTAAATTAGTTGAAAAATATTTCATTATTGCAAAAGTAAATTATTTGAAAAATATTTCATTATTGCAAAAGTATATTATCCATGTGTATATAGACTACTTCCTATTTTGATACATATATATATTCAATAATTAATCGCATTAAATATAATTGAAGTAGGCAAAAATTCTATGCATGCGCTACTTTTTTGTTTGATTTGGAATAAAGGAATAAAATGAAAAAATATATAATAAAAAATAAAAGAGGAAAAATATTATACTTATAGGTTTACAGAAAAGTCCTCGATACCATATAACTAAGTTTAATATCTCGGCCAAAATATGGTTTTTATGTTAAAAATAAAATAACTTTTACAACATTAAATTTGAGCACAGGTTTCACGTATACTTTATTATTATTATTTATACAACTTAGAATGGCAAACAAGCTGACGGCCCACCTGATGGAAAGTGGTAACCGTCGCTTATAGACATGAGCAGTACCATAGACATAACAAAGTATACTGTTTCAGCCAAGATACCCACACGCGTTGCCATTCCTGAGGACTCAGGTGTTATTCCTTTGTACCCTGTAAACCGAAACACAGCTGTAGTTGTATATAGGTCTATGTAGACATATGAGTTCACATTGAACTCAAAATGTTTATTAAGTTTATTCATCATATCTGAACATAGGCTTATGGGGGTTTTGCCAGCAGCTGCCATGCTTAGGATTGGCAATCGTATTTGGACTTTTGGTGATGTTTTGTTGCTGCCAATCTTTCAATCATTATTTTCCTTTTTTCGCTTCTTACGACACTCAAGGGAAAGGAAGGGATAGCCCGTTGTGTGTTGGGACCACACGGCTATTAACTCTAATTTATCTATAAAATATTTCGTCATTTATGGGTGCATTTTATTCCTTTTAAAATAAAGTTTCATCAAATTATTTTCATGTTTTAGTAAATAAATATATGATTTTTTTACATATACTAGAGGGAGACTTTTTATAAAAGTTGTTTGCTTGATTACCTCTGTCCCATTCGTGTTTTAACTGTCAAGCAGTTGTGTTTGCATGGCTGTGTTTCGGTTTGAAATGCGTGAATTAACAGGGTACAGAGGAATAACACTTGAGTCCTAGGGAATGGCAACGCATGGGGGTTATCATGGGCGAAACAGTATACTCCGTTATGTCCATGGTAGTGCTCATGTCTATAGGCGATGGTTACTACTTTCCATCAGGTGGGCCGTCAGCTTGTTTGCCATTCTAAGTTGCACAAAAAATATCATGCAGATATTGCTTCGATAATAGTCTATCGAATATTATCCGGCACTACTGAATAAATCAAATTTAATTAGACATTACATTTCAAGAATATATTCACTTTTGCACGGCTTTGTAATCACAATTCGCGACTTTATTCCATAGCTAAATCACGGCGTTTAAAATGTTTAGATCTATCCTAATGAAATTAGAAAATCCGAAACGACCCTTATTAGGTCCAAATGTATACGCTTTAGAGTTTTGGGGGTTATTATTACCAGAGAACATGTTTAAGAGATATTTTTACTTAACTATGCACGTTTTAGTTACAATATTTACAGCTACTGAGTACGTAGACGTTTGGTTTGTGAAGTCCGATATGAGCCATTTGTTGAACAATTTAAAAATCACAATGCTAGCAACAATGAGTGTATGTAAAGTTACCACATTCTTGTATTGGCAAAAACGTTGGAGAAGCATTATAGAATACATCACTAAATCTGATTTGAACAGAAGAAAAACAAATGACATGACCAAGAAAAACATGATTGACAATTATACAAAATATTGTCGTAAAATCACATACTTTTATTGGTCTTTGATGTATACAACAGTCATTATAGTCATGGTTACACCAATTTTCAAGTATTTATTCTCTTCTGCATATAGAAGTAACCTTGATGATGGTACAGAAAAGTATCTACAAGTTGTAAGCTCATGGGTACCATTTGATAAAAATACGCTTGTTGGATATTTAGCAGCATCTGCTTTTCAATCGTATGCAGCCATATACGGTGGTGGATGGATAACTTCTTTTGACACTAACGCAATGGTGATTATGGTGTCTTTTCGAGCTGAACTCGAGTTATTGAGAATTGATTGTGCTAATATATTCAGTGAAGAAGGTCGTATTGTTTCTGATAAAGTTTGTAATGAAAGACTAAGAGAATGCCATAAACGACACGTGGAATTAGTAAAGTAAGTATATTTCTAATATTATTGATTATTATTCTTAAAAGAAATGTTTTATTAATATAATAAGGATTGTATATGTTATAAGCTTTTTGTCCGCTACTCCGTATAGGAAGCTCAACGAAATAGACTACTTCTAGGTAGCGTGTCAAAATAAAATGCAGATCAGATTTTAAGTCAGACCTTTAACTATGAAACACACATCCAATTTGGTGTAGTATTTTCTGTTCTGTAATATCAGAACAAATATATAGACATCCAGATAGACAAAGTTTCTAAAAAATATTATTTTGGTTTCTAGTGTTTTTTTTTTGCATTTATTTTACGACCACTACTGAATCTTTGCAAATTTATTTCCCTAATTTTCAATGTGATCACTTAGTTTTAAGTATAGTACTAAACTTATCTATGTTTTACTTGCACATATACTTAACTATCTGTTACCTGCGGCTTTACATGTGTATTCTTGTATTTCCCTCTTTAAATTAACATGTCTCAAAAATCCTGTTTTAGCCTTTTAAATTTTAAATTTCAACTTGCTGAATTTGTTTTCGATTGTGCGTCCAGTTAGTGCATTTGTTTTTACAAGTACAGATTATTCTTTATTGTACACAAAAAACATTATATTAAAATAATCAATTTCACCCATTGCTGAGTATAGGCATGATTCCACTAAATGACCCGATTTCGCCATGCGCGTCTAAGTCTTGGACTATTTTACTAATATTATTGGCCCAATATAGGAGTTTCATCTCCGCTTTCCTTCGACTAATTCTTGGTCTCTATATATAAGAATTATAGATATATAAGAAAAATAGTAATACATAATAGAGCACAAGGAAGAGCTTATCTGTAAAAGAGATTTCTTTCAGCAAAACCCTAAATGAGAAATGATTGATAAGGAATCAATTCTTGAATTAAAATTATTGACTGCGAAAAAAAATATTAATCAGTTTCGAATTGGCAAATTGTATAATACGTTATTAGCAATTGAATTATCACGTGGTATCTATCATCATCATCATTATATCAGCCATTATCTGTCCATAGGCCAGGCTGAACATAGGCCCCCATCATAGACCGTCATAAGGAATGGGGTCGTTCCTGTTGAAATTTACCATTGGGTGGATTTAGCCAGTAGTTATTTTGCTTTGGCTTTGGTGATATTTTAAGAGGGACGCTGCTGCCTATTCTTCAACTATTAAGTTTCCTCAGTGTCAGTCGTCTTTTACGATACTAACAGGAAAGGATGGGGTAACCCATTCTGTACCGGGACCACACGGCAACGTAGTAAATCACACAAAAAGTAAATGAATTGACAACACCTTTCATTTGGACGTCTCTTAAAAACTTTGTTTTATTGACAATGTCTTTGAACACTTCAGGCTTGAATTGATTCGGCACTGTCTTCGTTATGGGAACTCGTTACAAACTTGATTGAAAACATAAGCACTTTCACACATTACGCTACCTGAGGATACGTTTTAGTTTATTTTTTTATTTTACTTGAAACTGTTAACGAGATAGTTGTCTCTGTGAGAGAATGTTAAAATAAGTAGGTGCTTTTGTTAAAAAAATAATATTACAATAATTTATAATAACATACATATCCGTCACGCCTGTCTCCCATTAGGGTAGGCAGAAACAACGGAACGCCAAATGCTTCGATTCAAACAAACCTCTTTCGCTTCTTCCACATTCATCAATCTTTTCATACGCGCTCGCCGGTTACGGGCACTTTTAATTTGGCCCTTCTTATAATAAGTTTCGTTTAATAAATTCATTAAAATTACAAATATATATTTTTACACTGACTAAATAATATTATAATCACTTAGACAGTTTTGTTTTGTTAAATACCGTTTATATTTTACGCCATCTAGTGGAGAATTAAAACTAATAAGAAATAACATTTGTTTTACTAGCTTCTTGCCTGCAATTTTGTACTGCATAGATTTTAATGAAATAAATTAATTCTAGTTAGTGTGTCAATTTTAAAGATACAACAAATTTTATGTTAGACCTTCAAAAATATACGAGTATACATGTAAATTTGATGAAGTAGTTTCAGCAAGAGCAAAATTTCTAAAATAATGTTAAAATTTAGCATTTTATATAAATCTTAGAACCCCTAAAATAAATTTTCTTATGTACAAATATGTGTACATGGCGGACTTAATGCTAAAAACATTCTCTCCCAGTCAACCATAGGGAAGTGTCAGAATACTCGAATGCGGTACTAGTAATTATTAATATAGATACATACTAAAATTACATATATAAACGAATAAATATATATAAATAACAAATATACTTACACATATATGACATATACTATATTATACACGAAATTGAGAATAATATAAAGCACTTGCTGCTCGGATAAAGTAAAAAAGTGAGCATGAACGTTTTTTTTTTTTAAAGACGGTTTAGTCGGTAGGTAATATTAATAAGATTTAAGAATTTATTTTGTCGCTCAATGAAATTTCGGAGAATATTTTCATCGCTCAATGTACGGAAGCGCTTACTATACAATTGAAATGATAAAACTTGAAACGAATACAGGTTGTTGAGTTAGAATTTTGCATATTAACTAAGTTGCGAAGTAAATTGTAGGCTTTCATTTAGTACACATCTTTGATAACTCTACCGTGATGTTTAACTTTTTGACAAGTTTAGAGTACTTTAGTATTTAGTATTAGTAGTATGAAGTTTTTTTTTTTATATGGATGAACTTAGAATGGCAAACAGGCTGACGGCCCACCTGATGGAAAATGGTAACCGTCGCCTATAGACATGAGCAGTACCATGGACATAACAGAGTACACTGTTTCGCCCATGATACCCCCCATGCGTTGCCATTCCTGAGGACTCAGCTGTAATATTAATAAGATTTAAGAATTTATTTTGTCGCATTATCGGAGAATCCTCTGTACCCAGTAAATTCGCCATATCCTTCAAACCGAAACACAGCCATGCATACGGTTGAAACACGAATGGGACAGAGGTACCCAAGCAATCGACTTTTGTACAAAGTCTCCCTCTGGTTGTGTGTGTGTGTGTGTGTGTGTGTGTGTGTGATAAGTGAAGTGATAGAACTTGTTTGATTACGGAAAAAAGAAATTATTTCTTGTACAAGTTAAAGAATAATACAAAGAAAATTACACAAGGCGATTTTATCACTACAAAGTAGTGGCTATATCAATCCCTTATTATTGTCTATTTTTTTTTTATTTTGAGTAAATAAACTTAAATTTCCGTGTGGTCCCGGCATAAAATAGGCCACCCCTTTTTTCCCGTGGGTGTCGTAGGAGTCGACTGAGGGAAGGCGAGAGATGTGCAACAGCGTCCCTCTTAAAACATCTCTGACTGCCTAACTGCGGTTGCCAACCCGCCTGCCAAGCGTAACACCTTCTCTTGTTCATTGCTAAACATAGGCCTCCTTGTTCGGGAGGCCTGTATTTAGCAACGTATATCAAATAGTTAACGGCTGAAATGTTAATGATGATGAGAATCCCATTGCTAGCAATATACCCAACCAGGTCGACCTCCTCGCGGTTCTCCCTGGAAACTATCATGGTTAATTCCTGATGAATTCATCATGATGGACTAACTGGCCTGTTTTCATTCGCACCTATCACCATTCACTGGTGCTCCGCCAGCGTATCCCGTTATCGCAGGCGGTCGTACCATTTTCACCTATCAAAAAAAAATCTATAGCACTTCGTCATAATTTTATAGTAACATTTCATATATTAAACTATTATATTTTTCAGATATTCTCGAATGTTCGACGAGTGTCTCTCGCCAATAATGCTACTATATATGTTCGTTTGTTCAGTTATGCTGTGCGTCACAGCCTATCAGATTACTGTAAGTAATACTAATATATCAAATATACCGGTATAGAATGGGCCCCACTTTCCTGTGGGTGTCATAAAAGGCAACTAAGGGAACCGAGGGATGGGCAGTAACGTCTCTCGTAAAACATCAGCAAAGATCGCCAAACCAACTGCCACAAAAAAGAGGTTATTTATATTATGAAGTGAGAAGAGGTCCTTCCCACCATGATGGAGGGCAGCAACAGTTAGAAGCCCACGCCTCACTCATTTGGAAAGAGCTCCAATCCAGAGATCCGAGGTTAGTCGCCTCCAGAGTTGAAGCTAGAGTAAAGGGGTCAGCCCAATCCTCCTCCAGGAATTCTCCACCTAACCCTTCCATCAGGAGGGTCAGAAGATCTGTCGTCATCGTCGTCGATAGTTAGAGATAATAGTAAAATATAGCAAATCTAATGGTTACCTTTACCTACCTTTGGGAGGAAAATGAAAAATATTAGTAATGGGGATTAACAACCCTATTACCAGCAATATACCATATCAGGTCGACCTCCACGCGGGTCCCCTAGAAACCATCATGATTCATTCGTTGACTATTTAGTCACGATAAGCTAATTGGCCTGTTTCATCTTCCCCTATCATTCTTTACTGATGACCCGTCAGTGTTTACTAATAATGCAGGCGGGATTGTGATTTCATTATCATCCATTGATAAATTAAATAATTAATTTATCAACATGTATTAAAAACTAGGGTAGGTAGGGTACATCTTATATATAAAATTCTTGTGTCACGGTGTTTGTTACCAAACTCCTCCGAAACGGCTTTACCGATTTTTATGAAATTTTGTGTGCATATTGGGTAGGTCTGAGAATCGGCCAACATCTATTTTTCATACCCCTCAATGAAAAAGGGTAATAATAGGGATACCCCTAAATTTTTTTTTCAAATTTTTTGACTTTTATTTTATTATGATTTAGCATAGAAAAATACATAAAACTCCAAATTTTCACCCTTTTACGATCGACCCCTATTTTAGAATCGCGATTTTTATATGCTGCAATAGATTTGCAAGATGGCAATCCAATATAGTAATTGTAGTACGATCAATTTTCATGTATAGTTCTAGAAATAATGTATATGGTAAAACAACGTTTGCTGAGTCAGCTAGTATATTAGTAAATAATTAGTATACCCTATTATGCTTTTGTGCCTTTTGTTTTCAGATAGAAACGAGTGCAATGCAAAGATTCTTAACAACAGAATATTTAGTGTTTGGAGTGGCACAACTCTTCATTTACTGTTGGCACAGCAACGAAGTATTATACGCGGTTAGCTTTTTTTTTATATCACTGAGGTGGCAAACAAGCATACTGCCGACCTAATGGTAAGCGGTTACCGTAGCCTATGAACGCCTGCAATACCAGAGGTATTACGCGCGCGTTACCGACCCTGAAACCTCTTTACCCCCCTTTTGAAGAAACCCATGCTGTAGTCTCTTGGGAAAACCTCGGCAGGGAGCTCATTTCATAACCTGAGTGTTCGTGGGAGAAAGCATCTCTGAAACAGCGTTGTACGCGCCCATTTAGGCTGTAAGGTATGAGGGTGAACTCCCTGTTGATGGCGAGCCGTACGATAATAGATATGTGCCGTGATGATAGATAAATCACATATTATATAAATACATGTTGTATAAATTAATATTATAAAGTGTAACTAAAGTTTACAATTTCATCATTACATTTCAGCCATTATCCGTCCAGTGCTGGCATAAGCCTCCCCCATAGACTGCCATAAAGAACGGTCCTGAGACACCTGCGTTCACTGAGTATTTGCAATGCATTTTAAATTGTCTGTTTGCCCGTCACTGCGTTTGTCGGAACGCGGTCGCCACTCAAGAACCTTTCTTTCCCATCGGTTGTCGGTTCTTCGAGCTATGTGACCATCCCATTGCCACTTTAGCTTGCTTATCTTTATTCAAATTTACAATTGGATTTCTTTAAATAACATTATTATCCTTTATTTTCATAAAATTTATTTATATCATGACGGTGGCAATAAAGCATACGGTCCGTCTGATGATAAATAGTTACTGTGGCCTATGGCGCTTGCAACACTAGTGTCACATGCGCGTTGCTGACCCTGAAGATATCTTAATAGGTGTATTAAGATATCTTTAAATAAGATTCTTCAAAAAGGGCACTTTTTGAAAAACCTTATACTGTAATCTCTAGGGAAAACCTTGGCAGAGAGCTTATTCTACAACCTTTACGTTTGTGAGGGAAAATTTTGAAATCACATTGTACGCGACCATTTAAGTTCTAGCGTGTGAGGATTGCCTGTCGATGGCGAACAGTACGATCATAAAAGGTGTCTGTGGGCATCATTTCGAACGAATCGTATCGTATCAACTGTTAATCTAATACTGAACATAAGCTTCTCCCATAAGGGGGTTATGCCAGCATTTGCCACACTTGGCAGACGGAATGACATAAAAAAATACAACTGGTTTGAGGACTTCCTTCCTTTTGAAGTCAGTAGAAAAATAATTATCATTATGCATCAGAGAGTATGTACAGCTATTGTCCGATAATGCATATCAAAAGCTTTCATGCATAGCTGTTTGAAAACAAAGAAACACCAGTGGCGACATCTACTGAGCAGTACTAATTAGGTCAACACTGGAATTGCATTGACGTCTGAATATAATGACAAACAGATACACTATCCAAGATCCAAGAAACAAAAAGAACTCTTCAATCGAGACCCGTACTTAACTCGAGCGCCCTTACCAAATTAAGTTAATATTTTCTCTATTATTTTGTTTTCAGAGCCAAAATCTGAGATGGGGTCCGTATGAGAGTGTTTGGTGGACAAAAGACGTATCATACCGTAAAGATCTATTCATACTAATTGCCCAATACAACAGAATCGTTGCCTTTTCTGCTGGACCATTCACACAGCTCACTGTTGCCACTTTCATAAGTGTAAGATCTCCTTATTATCTGTATTATTTTATGTATATTTTTTTTATACAACTTTTTAGAATGGCAAACAAGCTAACGACCCACCTGATGGAAATTGGTAACCGTCGCCTAGAGACATGAGCAGTACCATGGACAAAACAGAGGATACTGTTTCATCCATGATACCCCCCATGCATTGTCATTCCTAAGGACTTAGGTGTTATTCCTCTGTACCCAGTAAATTCACGCCACATTCCACCCTACAAACCCAAACACAGCCATGCAAACACAACTGCTTCACGGTTGAAACACGAATGGGACAGAGGTTGAGGACAGAGAGGTTGCCTGGAAGAGATGGCTTTCAGAGATAAGGCCGCCCTTTATTTTCCCAGTGTGATCTTATCTTGTAATTGTTACAAAATTGGTAGTGTTATTAGACAGATGAATCGGGAATCTCCTCCTTATTAATGTTTATAGAAACTGCGTTAGTTACAGTAGCAGTTTGCAGTTAATAAAAATAAATAACCGATAAAAATGTTTAAATGCAATTTAACTTTTCTGCGAATACTTTCAAACCAAGTCTAGATTCAATAGAATGTGATCCAAAGATACTCTATTGAAACTCACCAAGTAACATCAGTAAATCCTATTTATTGCTAAAGATATCTCTTCAAATTGAATGTTATTTCCATTCAAGTACTAATTTAATAGGAAATATATTTATTTTTGGCTCATTGATATGTAAAGAGTCCCAAGATTCACAATTCCATATTATATTATTAAATTTGTTGTTAAGGTTATTTTATATTGCCAGCGTTTGCCGTGTTAGCCCCACCATAAAATGGGCCATTTCTTCCTTTCCCATGGGTGTCGTAAGAGGCGACTTAGGGAGCTTATGGTGGAGGGATGGGCAGCAGCATCCCTTTTAAACATCTGTAAAAGCTTAACTACGGTTGCTAACCCGCCTGCTAAGCGTGGCAACTGCATGTAAAACTTCCCTTATGGGGAAGGCTTATGTCCAGCAGTGGACAGTTAAGGGCTGAAATGATGATATTGCCAGCGAATGCATACATGTTGGCAGGTTTGTTTTATAGATAATAATGAAATGATATGAATGGCCGTGTGGTCCCGGCATAGAATAGGCTACCCCTTCCTTTCCCGTGAGTGTCGTAAGAGCTGATTAAGGGAGGGAGAGGGATAGGCAGCAATGTACCTTTTAAAACATCTCTAAAACCTGACTGTAGTTGCCAATTCGCCTGCCAAGCGTGGCAACTACTGGCAAGACCCCCAAGGGGGAAGTTTATGTTCAGTAGTGGACAGTTAAAGGGTAGTTAGAAGGAATCTGCGAACAAAAAACAATTGCCACTAGATATTAAGGAATGCGCTCTATTTTCGTATAGTTTCTAGTTGATTTTTTTATGCACCTTAGAATGGCTATCAAGCTGACGGGCCACCTGATGGAAAGTAGTAACCGTCGCCTATAGACATGAGCAGTAGCATAGATATAATAGAGTATACTGTTTCGCCCATGATACTTCCCACGAGTTGCCATTCATGAGGATTCAGGTGTTATTCCTCTGTAGCCTGTAAATTTACTACCATATCCCATGCTTCAAATCGAAACACAGCCATGCAAACGTAATTGCTTCACGGTAGAAACACGAATGAGATAATTGTCCAAGCAAACGACATTTGTACAAAGTCTAGCTCTGGTAAAATTTGATAGATTAAGATCTGATAATGTATCTAGGATTATTTTATATATCAATGGTTTGATTATACAATATTATTATATTTTTCCAGATCTTGAAAGGAGCCTACAGTTATTACACGCTACTGAGTCAATCGCAAAACGTTATTTCGGATTCAGCACAAACGTAGATTGACAGATTGAAATATGTAATTGTAGCTATATTTTTAAAATTACTATAGTGTATTTATTTTTCACTTATTACAATTAATATATGCATTTTGACATTTGAATATAGTACATTAATTATTAATATATATTATTATAATTTTTTTTATATATATCATATACAAATATGTAAAAAATATAGTTTATCTTTTTTATTATATACACACCTAATATCTACGTGCAGGGGGTGAAGGGGTTGTTAGTAATGGGGATTACCAATCCCATTGCTAGCAATAAACTCTATCAGGTCGACCTTCTCCCGGTTCCCCTTGAAAACCATCTTGATTGGTTTATTGTTGAATTCGTCACGATGGGCTAACTGACCTGATTCATCCTCACCTATCATGCCTCACTGGTGCCCCGCCGGTGTATACCGATAGCGCGGGTGGGGTTACCGTTCTATTAGCATCCATTAAAAAAAATATATCTACGTGCTACAAACATCAAGAGCAAGTACTTAAAAAAATATTTAAAGATAAAAAGATTCTTTGAGATCACTGCCAGCTGGTAGGGTACCTAGGATACTTGCTGCATTTAAAATATACAAATTACTATATAATTATTTCTTTGAGAATATATTTAAAGGTACATTTATTTTAACGAGGATAATGGAATAAATCCCTGTAGATCTACAAAGCACTCAGTAAGCATATTTTTAAAAGAAGACTCTTTAATTATTTGTTGAGTCAACAAAACCAGCTCTAGTTACAGTTTACTCAGTAGTTACTATATCTTATAATCCTTTCTGTTGTTTTGATATATATATATATATATATATATATATATATATATATATATATAGCACACTTTCAGTTCCTATAAAAGGTATATTATATATCTGGACGTAATCATTATTTCTATGGGAGTCTTATTTGCTTTTATCAAAAAAAAAATTATGCAACTTAGAATGGCAAACAAGCTGACGGTTCACCTGATGGAAAGTGGTAACCTATCGCCTATAGACATGAGCAGTACCATGAACATAACAGATGCGTTGCCCATTCGTGAGGACTCAGGTGTTATTCCTCTCTACCCTGTAAATTGACTGCTACATCCCACCCTTCAAACCGAAACACAGCCATGCAAACACAACTACTTCACAGTAGAAACACAAATGGGACAGAGGTGCTCAAGCAAACGATATTTGTACAAAGTCTCCCTCTGGTTCAAATTCAAATAGATGTGTAGTTATTAGAACTGAACCTTGATCATTTAGGTTTAAATCGTAATACTAGTAACATAAACGGTTCCATATTGTTTCAATAAATACATATTAGTGCAACTTGCCAATGCAAACTATTGCAAACCGATTACAGTTCTAACCTAATTCCTAACTGTTGTTTCATGAGCGCAGTACAAAATTGTCATTGGCAATAGATTGGATTAACATAATGTAATTGTAACCCCGCCTGCACTAACGGTATACGCTGACGGGGCACCAGTGAGGGATGATAGCTGAGAATGAAAAAGCAGATCAGTTAGCCCATTGTGTTGAATACACCTGGAATCCAGCACGATGATTTCCAAGGGGAACCACGTACAGATCTTTTGCCATGGGGATATTGCTAGCAATGGTAGTCCGCATTACTAACAATCCCTTCCCTCTATTAATATAGATATTAGATACAATAGTAGACCTGCTGATAGAGTGTATTACTTATCTCCCCCCCCCACGCGTCACCGGGATACACTGATTGACCGGGATAAATAGTTGCCTATATACACCATCCAAAATACCCTACGACAGCGAGTTCCGACTCTTCGCTGTCCCTAGATGGTGATCGAAGTGCAGTGGCCTAAGCCGAGGCCCGAGCCACTCTGGCGCCCTTGGGCACACGCCGCAGTCCATAAGTAAGAGCCGACACCTCTGTTGCTCCCCTCTCGCGGGCTTGCAGTGCCATCTGCACTCGCTCCTGCATACTGCATTGGTGAAGCTGTAAAGGCCATCCACGGCCAACAGCAAACACAATCAGAAAAAAAAACATCCAAAACACTACATGAATAAATACTAAATTTTATGATAATTGCTTGAGCCATGAGTTAACAAATAAACTCACTTTCACATTTATAATTCAGGCCTCTTGAATCTAATATTTATTTATTATTATTATATTTCTCACCACAAACAATTTAGGACGTAATATCTATAACTTGCAAAACATTTTAACAATATTATTTGTGGGAGCTCGTGCCTGTACTAGGTATTAAACCTGTATTACAAGTCACCAGGACCTTTACCTCGAACAGTACAAATTATACAAATAAAAACTTTCACAAAAAAAAAGGTGATGGTGAGTACATAAAGAATTCAGATACAGCGCGTATACAAAATAAATAGTTTTCGATATGTATAACATTAAAACAAAAACAAATTATATGCTAGGGAAAATAAGAATGCATTAAAATATAAGTAAAAAAGTGTGACACGAGTTTATGTTATAGAGTGTATGTTATGTATGTGTTTTGTATCTGAACTTGTGACTATATATGAGTTTGTTCGGTGTGTGAGTCAATGTATGTATATGTGTATGTGCGCATGTGTGATTGTGTGCGTGTGCGTGTATGTAAGTGGTTTTATATTCATGTATCTTAGATTATCTGTTTTAAAAGATCTTCTGTTTTATCATAATTTTGTTTTTGGAGCCAATTTTTAACTGAAGTTTTGCACTTGTAATAAGTTAGAGCATATATAGAAATTAGATTATGCAATTTATTATACAGAAAGGGGGCAAGATAAGAGAAAAATCTTTGGCTGAAGCTGGCTGGCTATAATTCCAGTAAAGTTATGTAGGGATTTTAATCAACAAAATCTCAATACCAATAGTTAATAGTTTTTTGACAAAGTAATAAAAAAAAAACTCTAATAAATTTAATTTAATGATGTTCTTGTTTTACTAGCAAAAAAAAACTAGTTAATTTACCAGCTTTATCACAAGAAATTCTCGTTTATCGGCGATCATTGAAAATGAATGTAAAATTTTTATTTGAAACTAAATCTTTGATGTCTATCCAGCAAAAGCAGTTTTAAGTTAATTGGCCGTCAAGTTTATTAAAGATTATAAAAACTAGTCAAGCGTGAAATTATATACAATGTGGGTGTTTTGTACAATAATTATTATTGTAATGTCATCATAAACATCATCATTTTAAGCCATTATCTGTCCACTGTTGGACATAGGTCTTTCCCATAGACTGCCATAGGGAACGGTCCTGAGTCATCTGCGCCCACTGATTATCTGTAATGCATTTGAGGTCGTCGCTCAATCTAATGGGGAGGAGTGGGGGGGGGGTCGTCCTACACTGCGTTTGCCTGTAAAGGGTCGCCACTCAAGAACCTTTTATCCCCATCGGTTGTCGATTCTTCGAATTACGTGACCGGCCCATTGCCACTTCAGCTCGCTTGTCTTTCGGGCTATGTCGGTTACTTTGATTATTTGTAAGTAAGACTTGTTTTATAACAAGTATTTTATAATAGAACAGAAATGTTGTATTTTTACTGATATTATAAATGTAAAAGTGACTATGTTTTTTATTATTTTATGTTGCCTTAATGTCTTAACTAGTTGCTATGAAATTTGGTATACACATTCTGGTTATGGCTGGAAATAAGATTTAATAACTATAAATTGAATATGTAAATAAGTTTTACTTTGTACTCACATACTTGTATGTGATTTACAACAAACAATTTATAGAATAGATTAACTTTGATCCTCCACAGGCGTTTATATTAAAGAATCGACTTTGAAAATGACCCAAAATGTGATGTAAAAATAAACTGATCAAAATACTGGCTATATTTATTTACCAGAGGGAGACTTTGTACAAAAGTCGTTTGCTTGGGCACCTCTGTCCCATTCGTGTTTCTACCGTGAAGCAGTTGTGTTTGCATGACTGTGTTTCGGTTTGAAGGGTGGGATATGGCAGTGAATTTACAGGAATAATACCTGATCCCTAAGGAATGGCAACGTAAGGGGAGTATCATGGGCGAAACAGTATACTCCGTTATGTCCATGTCCACCAGGTCGGCCGTCAGCATTCTAAGTTGTATATAAAAAAAATAAGATAAATTAGTAGAAAAAAATCCTGAAAATTCTTGATACTTGTAAACTCATTTTGTAGGCTCTAAACTCATTAATTAGATTGTCTGTAACCTATAAAATTGGATTAAAGAGATATTTTGTACAGAAACTTTATCACTATGACCTAATTACGTCTAACATCCTTTGTTCTAGTAGTTTAAATTAAAGAATTTGATACTTTGAAGTGTGTTTTTTAACTTTGTATCCACGTCGAGTAAAAGGTATTTACAAGAATTAAAATTCCATAAATGTAGACAGGGCCGGCTTTAATGTAGTTAGCAGCTGTGGGTGGGGGAAAGGGAATGGTAGTAAATGTAGATTAAGAATACTATTGCTAGCAATATACCTAACCAGGTCGACCTCCACGCGGTTCCCCCTGGTACTGCATACCAGGCGTTTTCATCACGATGGGCTAACTGACCTGCGTTTTCATTTTCACCTATCATCCCTCACTGGTGCCCTGCTAGCGTATACCGTTGGCGCTGGAAAACTGTCATGGTTAATTCCTGATGAATTCATCATGATGGCTTAACTGGCTTGTTTTCATTCTTAAGAATTACATTTCACTAGTTTCCTGCCAGCGTATACCGTTAGCGCAGGCGTGGGCAAGTTTTTGACGGCGCTTCCCTCACAATAAAAATAATAATCATCAGCTTGCACTGAAGTGTCCTTGAGCAAAATATCCTAATTGACAAGGAATAAAATCACCAATTTTTACTAAATAAAAGAAAGAAATAATTTTTTCAAAGAATCATGTGATTACAAAACAAGAATAAAACAATTAAAAAAAAAATAGAATACAAAATAAAAACCGTCGTTTACTCAATCAAAGTCTAAATTTTAAAATAAACAGCATAGGTCTACTCTTGAATTTAATATCACTGGCAATAGATTGGATTGATAAATTTATTGCCAATGATTATTCTGTACTGCATTTATGAAATAACAATTAGAAATTAGATTACAATTATAATCAATTGGCAATAGTTTTTATAAGAAAATTACAAATTAGTATTACAAGGGAACATGTCTGGCAAATCTTCTGAACGATGGCGATGAAAAGGTCAACTGAGTTCATGTTGTTTACTCCAAATTTGAATTAATTAATTTTTAATTTATTAATCTTATTGCCTTTTTTGCATGTTGATGCTCCTTTTGGATCTCGCCGCCCCCCTTAGATCTCAATGCCCTCAGGTGCCACCCGAACGCAACACAACCTCCCTAAGTCTGGTAGTGACTGTACCTACCTACATGTTTAAGCTATAAAAGAAGGAAATTCTTAATTTATTTGTTTGTTTTTTATGTTACGCAATATTTTGATTTTTATTCTAAATTCGCGTTCTAAATTTAAATATTGTGTATTTACGAAACTACGTCATTTTTTTGGTGTGTTTTATTCATTTTTAACTGACTTCGAAATAGAAGGAGGTAATTAATTCAGTTGTAGTTTTTATGCTTGTTACCTCATAACAACAATATATATAAACCGATTTCAAAATTCTTTTCTATCTGAAAGGATATACACTCAAATTGGTGTCATAAAAATTTTATCTAAGTCGATTTAGTTAGTAGTTTACTTTTTAAATCAAAACAACTTATTTTGCCAAAATTGATTTCGGTGTTAAATCTCAGCAAATTTTTAAGTTACAAAAATTGGAAGTAATTTTACCAAATTGCTGTTTCTTG